GAAATCATGATTTTTCGATTAAAACAGCAACTTTGCAGTGTTTTTTCGTATGTTTTTTATAGTTGTATTTGCGATTTCTTGGTCTCATTTGATAGAATGGAAGACATATTACAGAAATAGAGATGATTTTGATTGGTTTTAGCACTGGAAATGGCTTGAAACTGAGCTCAAAGTAGCGGAAATGTTAAATTTTTGCCGATATTCAAGAGTAAACAAACGACCTCACACATCTAATACACGTCAGCTGGTGGGTCTAATATACATTCACAAATATGGTAATGATATTTATACAATTATTACAGTATTGCATAACAGTAAATCTTCTATTTTTTGGTGTGAATAAAAATTCATTATGTGAATAAAAAATCAAAATGGAATTTATTTGTAAAGCCTCAAAACATAACTAATGAACAGAGGAAATGTTAGTTTAGTGCCAGGAATGCCTACATTGTTTATTCTGGACCCTATTTTGAAATTGGAATATTTTGAACTTTGTGTTAAATTGGCCAAATTAACAATTTCCGATCACTTTATTTTGTAGTTGAAACAGTTGACTTGGCGATTTCTTGTGCTCAATCGATAGAATAGAAGTAATACTAGTGAAATAGCTAAGAATTTGGTTGATTGGAATAATGTAATTGGCCTAAAATAGGAGTCAAAGTCGGCAAAATCGCCGATTCGTAAATATCGCTGACACATCAAAATTTGCGAGAGCATAATTTCGTCAATTTTCCACCAAATTTCGTACTTTTTGTTTTATTACCTTCACAAAAAGATTCTCTACGATTTCATAAGAAAAAATAACAAATTTTTTTTTTGAAAATTCTTGGACACTGGTGCGTGACTCCAGATTTGGGCCTTGGACCCTGAAAGGGTTAAAGAGCATTGCAATAATTGGTGACAATACTTGAGAAGCTTTTTTGTACATAAAAGCAGGCAATGTTTATGTCTCTTGCCTTGTTTTTAAGGGAGATTATGATGAGCGTAACTTCTATGGGGTTGGTTGGAGCTAGGAATAGCGTATTTGGGTAGGTATCTATGAGGTAGTCTGATGGACGGGTGTTTGTGCTTGGTATTTTGTTCACTAGATATTTTCCTATGGTGGAGAAGAAAACATTGAGTCTGTTTGCCGTTTCAGTTGGAGTGAGTAGGGGTTCATCTGATTTGGTTAGTTTGATTGTTTTGGTTTTGGATAACTTTTTAGTTCCAAGAATTTCAGATATAGTTTTCCAGGTTTTTTTCATATCACCTTTGATGTTATGTAATCTATTTTCATAATACAATTTTTTAGACCTTATCAGGCTGGTAAGTGCTGATGAGTAACGTTTAGATTGTTCTCTAGTTATTTGACCCATTCTATACTGTTTTTCATATTTGTGCTTTGTGTTAATGGATTTGAGGATGCTTGGTGTTAGCCAGGGATTATTCAGTCTCTTTGCTGTGATGTTTAGTTTTTTGGGGGCAATGTTTGTTATAGAGGTTTCGGGCTTTTTTTAGAAAATTATTTATATTTCTTCTTTCTTTCAATACACCGACCGTATCCCACCGGGGCAGGGTGGCCCAAAAGAAAAAACAAAAGTTTCTCCTTTTACATTTAGTAATATATACAAGAGAAGGGGTTACTAGCCCCTTGCTCCTGGCATTTTAGTCGCCTCTTACAACACGCATGGCTTACGGAGGAAGAATTCTGTTCCACTTCCCCATGGAGGTAAGAGGAAATAAACAAGAACAAGAACTAGTAAGAAAATAGAAGAAAACCCAGCGGGGTGTGTATATATATGCTTGTACGTTTATGTGTAGTGTGACCTAAGTGTAAGTAGAAGTAGCAAGACGTACCTGTTATCTTGCATATTTATGAGACAGACAAAAGACTCCAGCAATCCTACCATCATGTAAAACAATTACAGGCTTTCGTTTTACACTCACTTGGCAGAACGGTAGTACCTCCCTGGGTGGTTGCTGTATACCAACCTACTACCTTATTATTTATATTCTTTATATTCTCTTATTTCTTTCCTACTTCAATAGGTTTTGTCACCTTGCTATGTTCTTGTAGGCATTGTGTCTTTTATACATTCCAGAGTTTCTGTAATTCATGTTTTAACTGTGCTAGTGTTAACCGTAGTGGCCTGCTTTTGTCCTTATTCTATTTTCAGTTTTATCTAAATCCTGCCATGTACATTTTATTATTTAAATCTAATAACTGCATTTTAAAGATCTGTTGTACTTTCTTTTTATCCCCTTTTAAAATACATTAAAAAAATAACCATTTTGCCTTCTTTAACAGATACCCTTAACAGTATATCACTGTTCACAATTGTCTTTTTAAACTATGGTCCTATTTTATACCTCAAAGACAAAAAACAAAACTAGACTGATAGGCTTTCAAAAAGAGATATGTGGAAAGTGGAAGAGTAGCAAAGCAGATGGATATAAAAATACTCTTAATATCTTGAGAATTGACGTGTCAGCGGATGAGTTTATGAAGGAAGAGGTTAATCATAGAACTGATGAATGAAAAAGGGTGAATGATGCATTAAGGTACATGTGGAGACAAAAAAAAATGTTATCTATGGAGGCAAAGAAGGGAATGTATGAAAGTATAGTGGTACCAACACTCTTGCATGGGTGTGAAGCTTGGGTTGTAAATACTGCAGCGAGGAGACAGTTGGAGGCAGTGGAGATGTCCTGTCTAAGGGCAATGTGTGGTGTAAATACTAAGCAGAAAATTCAGAGTGTAGAAATTAGGAGAAGGTGTGGAGTTAATAAAAGTATTAGTCAGAGTGCTGAAGAGGGGTTGTTGAGGTGGTTTGGTCATTTAGAGAATGGATCAAAGTAGATTGACATGGAGAGCATATAAACCTGTAGGGAAAGGAAGGTGGGGTAGGGGTAGTCCTTGAAAAGGTTGGAGGGAGGGGGTAAAGGAGGTTTTGTGGGCGAGAGGCTTGGACTTCCAGCAAGCGTGCGTGAGCATGTTAGATAGGAGTGAATGGAAACAATTGTTTTTTTGGGACCTGACAAGCTGTTGGAATGTGAGCAGGGTACTATTTAGTGAAGGGATTCAGGGAAACTGGTTATTTTTATATACCCAGACTTGAGTTCTGGAAATGGGAAGTACAATGCCTGCACTTTAAAAGAGGGGTTTGGGATATTGGCAGTTTGGAGGGATATGTTGTGTATCTGTATACGTATATGCTTCTGAGCTGTTGTATTCTGAGCACCTCTGCAAAAACAGTGATTTTCTTTCTTTTTGGGTCACCCTGCCTCAGTGGGAAACGGCCGATTTGTTAAAAAAAAAAAAATCCTGAAAGTTAACAAATTTCATGAGATCTTTACACTTCAAAAGAAAACAAGTTTGTTTGTATTTGAAGACCTTGTGAGCAAAGTAATGACTCACAAACAAAACCTGGGAGCTTCATTTTTATTTCCTGTAACAAATTAGGTGTACCTGATCAAACTATCACCAGCCTAGCCTGGCACCAGACTTTGAATAAAAAAAACATTCGAGAAATGTCACAGGTATCCACAGCAGAAAGTTTGCAGTAACTTGACATGAGCAACTGTGTGTGACATTTCTCCAGTCAGACACACAGTTTTCACTCAATAAGAACTGGGTGTGATAAAGCTACAAAGACAAAACCTATGAAGTGTAACGAATTACAATACTGTTAGTATATACATATACAAATGTAATGTCATCATAAAGCAGTACAGCCATAATTACAAATGTCATTACAATGTGATACAGCAATAACTAGAGACAGTTTAATTGTCTATGACTACCTATCATCATTACTTGTTCTAAATAGTATCAGATCTAAATTCAACATTATTATGTCTGAGGCCAATGACAGGTATGCACAAATTATTGACAAAGGGATTAAAGTTAAACCTTCATGAATTCCCTTTCACACTGGCCTCCAGAATCACGGCAAAATTGACACATTGGATAAATTAACAACAAAAAAAAAAATGTAAATTAATTCAGTTTCCTAAACAGAAGTGTAAAAACCATTATTAAAAAAAGAACCAGCAATATAGCTGTACAGATAGGAAACAGCCAATCTCATACACATAATAATGAAATGTATCAAGCAAAACAAGTCTAAGAAGAACATTACAAGATCAGTAAACCATAAGATGTTAGTAACTGCTAGGATCTAAGTGTCAATGATAGTGCAAATTGCATGGAGATGCCAATGACATGAATTACCTGTAGTGTGTGGACAGAAACAGGGCAAAACACTAGAAAATTTGATTCTAAAAATTTATACCCACTTAAGAGATCCAGCCTTACAAACCATAAGGAAAATGGTAAATTACTCTATTGTTAATTATAAGATGTCTAAAATATTGAGGAGTCTGACAAAGACCCACTGTAACCTCCATTTTTTCTCTTGGACCTGCTGTTTACAGGATGGTTGATTGATTAACTGGTTTTAACGAATCAACTACTTCTTCATAAATAATAGTTAATTCCATAAATATGAATTAAAGTAAACTATAAAGTGTAAATACATTAACAGATGCACATCTCTAAGTATCTATACCCTTCCATGTTAAGCGACATAAAAGACACTATGGCAGAACTAAAAATTCTGACAACATTCTACTTGGAGACCACTGTTAGTCTTTAAGCAAAAGGCTGCCTTAATAAATATTTCCATTCTGCCATAGTGTCTTTTCTTTATCAGCTTGTTGGTTTTACAATCTCATTCCCAGTGTTGTTACATGTTCTAGAGTGTAAACACATCAAAAATTAAATTTAATGTATCAATACTTCAAAATTCTTATACACATGTATATACAATAAATTTATGTAAATTATCAGTAAGGTACAGTTTCTTTTTTTTTGCTTTAAATAAACACTTGTTGCAACTCATGAGGGGCAAACACATCATTGGCACACTTGACTGTCAATATGCTGGACACTTACCCAGTGATGTCACATGAAAACTGTCTACGAAAGTACCAGCTTTGATTTACTAATATTTACTTACCTCACAGAAAGTTGGGTCTTCCTCTTCTGACGGAAGATCATCAGGTTTCACTTCTTTAACAGCCTCTCGTCGAATAACACGTCCTCCAATACGCTGACGTACAAACACCAACAAGAAGGGTATTCGATCTTGAGGGCAACTGTTATTTGTCTGCATACAAAAGTCAAGGAATTGGTAAAAAGATATACATAAAAAGAGAAACTTAAATATTAGTCCATAGTGTGAAATGCTAAAATATTCTTTGAATTTACTTTAATAAAATTATTAATAGTAGAGAGTATAGTATTTAACAACAGGCCTCTTTGTAATGTATTAAAGTGATTAGATTTATTTCCTAATATGATAAATGTTAATAAAACATTAGCAATGAAGTCCAAAACTAAACTAAAAAAAACAAAAAGGAATATCCTGGTTAACCTTTTAACTCTCGCAACCCCCAATCCTAGTCTCTCTCTGTCACAAAATATTTTGGGAAAAAAAAAAAAAAAAAAAAAAAAAATCCTGTGAAATTATAATCTTTTCCCGATGCTAATGACACCAAAAGTACGAAATTTGATGAAAAACTTACGGAATTACGCTCTCGCGAAGTTAGCGATCTCAGTGATATTTATGCATCAGCGATTTCACACACTTTAAGCCCTATTTTCAGCCAATTTCTTTGTTCCAGTTGACCAAACTCGTCGCTATTTTTTAGAACTCCATTTGTTAAATACACTGAGTACAAGAAAACTCCCATTTACTGATTTCAACTACCCAATAAAGTGGTCAGAAACTGAGAATTTGGCCAATTTCATGCAAATTAAAAAAATATGCCAATTTCAAAATAGGGTCCAGAATGAACAATGCAGACATTCCTGGCACTAAAATAACATTTTCTCTGTTCATCAGTCACGGTTCCAGGCCCTTTTTATATTACTTCTGCTTTCCATTTTGAATTTGTATTCACACAAAAAATAGAGGATAAACTGTTATGCAGACTACTGCATTATTGTAATACGTAATTGTATAAATAATGTCAACCCATTTGTGACTGCATATTAGAATGGCTAGTTGGACATTTATTGGACAATGATGTCATTTGTTTACTCTTGAACATCGGCAAAAACAGAACATTTCCACTACTTTGAGCTCCATTTCAAGGTCTTTTCATAGTGAAACCAATCAAAATCCTCTCTAGTTCTATGTCTTCCATTCTATCAAATGAGACTAAGAAAATGAGAATACAAAAATAAATACTATATATATGAAAATACACCTCAAAGTCGGTGTTTTAATTAAAAAACGTGGTCGAAGTTTTTTTCCTCATTATGCACTGCGTGCTGCAAGATTTTTTTTATACTGTGCACATTGACCACACAGACCCAATCTCTCGCATGTGGGAGTACCAGCTTTCTCCAGCTTGATTTGAAGCTGCTAGAATTTTTGAGTATATGTACATCAAACATATTGGCTCGTAAGACGTATATTATTATTATTATTTTTATTATTATCACACTGGCTGATTCCCACCAAGGCAGGGTGGCCCGAAAAAGAAAAACTTTCACCATCATTCACTCCATCACTGTCTTGCCAGAAGGGTACTTTACACTACAGTTTTTAAACTGCAACATTAACACCCCTCCTTCAGAGTGCAGGCACTGTACTTCCCATCTCCAGGACTCAAGTCCGGCCTGCCGGTTTCCCTGAACCCCTTCATAAATGTTACTTTGCTCACACTCCAACAGCACGTCAAGTATTAAAAACCATTTGTCTCCATTCACTCCTATCAAACACACTCACGCATGCCTGCTGGAAGCCCAAGCCCCTTGCACACAAAACCTCCTTTACCCCCTCCCTCCAACCTTTCCTAGGCCGACCCTACCCGCCTTCCTTCCACTACAGACTGATACACTCTTGAAGTCATTCTGTTTCGCTCCATTCTCTCTACATGTCCGAACCACCTCAACAACCCTTCCTCAGCCCTCTGGACAACAGTTTTGGTAATCCCGCACCTCCTCCTAACTTCCAAACTATGAATTCTCTGCATTATATTCACACCACACATTGCCCTCAGACATGACATCTCCACTGCCTCCAGCCTTCTCCTCGCTGCAACATTCATCACCCATGCTTCACCCCCCATATAAGAGCATTGGTAAAACTATACTCTCATACATTCCCCTCTTTGCCTCCAAGGACAAAGTTCTTTGTCTCCACAGACTCTAAGTGCACCACTCACCTTTTCCCCTCATCAATCTATGATTCACCTCATCTTTCATAAACCCATCGCTGACACGTCCACTCCCAAATATCTGAATACATTCACCTCCTCCATACTCTCTCCCTCCAATCTGATATCCAATCTTTCATCACCTAATCTTTTTGTTATCCTCATAACCTTACTCTTTCCTGTATTCACTTTTAATTTTCATCTTTTGCACACCCTACCAAATTCATCCACCAATCTCTGCAACTTCTCTTCAGAATCTCCCAAGAGCACAGTGTCATCAGCAAAGAGCAACTGTGACAACTCCCCTTTATGTGTGATTCTCTATCTTTCAACTCCACGCCTCTTGCCAAGACCCTCGCATTTACTTCTCTTACAACCCATCTATAAATATATTAAACAACCACGGTGACATCACACATCCTTGTCTAAGGGCCCTACTTTTACTGGGAAATAATTTCCCTCTTTCCTACATACTCTAACTTGAGCCTCACATCCTCGTAAAAACTCTTCATGTTTTCAGAAACCCTACCTCCTACACATACCCTGCAACATCTGCCACATTCCCCCCTATCCACCCTGTCTTTACCCCTTTTCCAAATCCATAAATGCCACAAAGACCTCTTTAGCCTTATCTAAATACTGTTCACTTATTTGTTTCACTGTAAACACATGGTCCACACACCCCTACCTTTCCTAAGCCTCCTTGCTCATCTGCTACCCTATTCTCCGTCTTACTCTTAATTCTTTCAATAATAACTCTACCATACACTTTACCAGGTATACTCAACGACTTACCCCCCAAAAATTTTTGCACTTCCTTTTGTCCCCTTTGCCTTCATACAAAGGAACTATGCATGCTCTCTGCCAATTCCTAGGTACCTTACCCTCTTCCATACATTTGTTAAATAATTGCAAACCACTCCAAAACTATATCCCCACCTGCTTTTAAAAATTTCTATCTTCATCCCATCAAACCCGGCTGCCTTACCCCCTTTCATTTACCTACTGCCTCACGAACTTCCCCCACACTCACAACTGGCTCTTCCTCACTCCTACAAGATGTTATTCCTCCTTGCCCTATACACGAAATCACAGCTTCCTATCTTCATCAACATTTAACAATTCCTAAAATATTCCCTCCATCTTCCCAATACCTCTAACTTCCATTTAAAAAACTCTCCTCTCCTATTTTTAACTGACAAACCCATTTGTTCTCTAGGCTTCCATAACTTGTTAATTCTACTCAAACTTTTTCTTATTTTAAAACAAATTTGTTGATAAATCCACCCACTCTCTCATTTGCTCTCTTTTTACATTGCTTCACCACTCTCTTATCCTCTCTCTTTTTCTCCATATACTCTTCCCTCCTTGCATCATTCTACTTTGTAAAAAAAACTTCTCATATGCTAACTTTTTCCCCCTTACTACTCTCTTTACATCATCATTCCACCAATCGCTCCTCTTCCCTCCTGCACCCACTTTCCTGTAACCACAAACTTCTGCTGAACACTCTAACACTACATTTTTAAACCTACCCCATACCTCTTCGACCCCATTGCCTATGCTCTCATTAGCCCATCTATCCTCCAATAGCTGTTTACATCTTACCCTAACTGCCTCCTCTTTTAGTTTATAAACCTTCACCTCTCTCTTCCCTGATACTTCTATTCTCCTTGTATCCCATCTACCTTTTACTCTCAGTGTAGCTACAACTAGAAAGTGTATACATGTATATGACCGAAACAGTGAAAGGGTTAATGATAATGAAATGCTAACTTATTCACTTCTGTGAAGAGGTAGAGAGATAAATAAATGTTTGATTATATAACATTGAAAAAAATGTCAAATATAAGAAAAAGTGATGCGAAAAGTAGAAAATGTTGATTCTTAATTTTAACCCTTTGACTGTCAGTGTTGTATATGTATATACGTTTTACGAACCAGTGTTTTGGACGTATTAATATGCCAAAATTCTAGCAGCTTCAAATCAAGCAGAAGAAAGCTGGTAGGCCCACATGTGAGAAAATGGGTCTATGTGGTCAGTGTGTGTAGTATAAAAAAATATCCTGCAGCACGCAGTGAATAATGAGAAAAAAAAACTCCGACAGTGTTTTTGGATTAAAATGCTGACTTTGAGGTGTATTTTCATATAGTATTTATGGTTGTATTCTCGCTTTCTTGGTCTCAATTGATAGAATGGAAGATATATTATAGAAATAGAGACGATTCTGATCGATTTCACAATGAAAAGGGCCTTGAAATTGAGCTCAGTAGCAGAAATGTTCGATTTTTGCTGATGTTCGAGTAAACAAATGACGTCACCATCCAATACGTGTCTAACTGGCCAGTCTAATACGCCGTCACAAATGGGTTGACATTACTTATACAATTATTACAGTAATGCAGTAGTCTGCATAACAGTAAATCTTCTATCTTTTGTGTGAATAAAAATTCAAAATAGAAAGCAAGAGTAATATAAGAGGGGCCTGGAGACATGACTAATAAACAGAGAAAATGTTATTTTAGTGCCAGGAATGTCTGCATTGTTTATTCTGGACCTATTTTGAAATTGGCATCTTTTTTAATTTGCATGAAATTGGCCAAATTGCTGAAATTGGTAAATGGGCAGTTTCTTGTACTCAGTCAATAGAACAAATGGAGTTCTAAAGAAATTGCTACGAGTTTGGTCGACTGGAACAACGGAACTGGCCGAAAATTGGGCTCAAAGTAGGCGAAATCACCGATGTGTATATATAGCCGAGATCACTAACTTTGCCAGGGCATAATTTCATAAGTTTTTTTTCGAATAGTTTGCGACAGGATTTGGGGTCTCGACAGTCAAAGGGTTAAGCATCCTATCAATTTAAGAATAATCAACATACAAACAATTTATAAGGTACTGTTTAGTATACCACTATGAATTAAAGTCAGGTCATGAAAGGTTGCAGCCAACTACCTTAAATACATATTGTTTTCTCAATATTCAAAAAAGAATAAAAATGACATCAGACCTATTGAGAAGAATGAGTTACAAATGTGGTAAAATAATTTATCATCTAATGTGCAAATGTAAAGTATCTGAAGTAAGTTTTGAGACCATTAGGCATATGAAAGATCTTCAAACTGCATTCAAATAAAGTGAAATATGAAATGCCTTAAAAAAGGGCACCAACACAAATTGAAGAGCTCGATGAGAAATGTAACATAATAAATTAGACAAATCATACATTCTTGTATACTTCATACAAACTGTTGACTTACTCTTGACCACTCAAGAATACAATCAAGGCAAAACGAATGATCACAGCCTTCAGGCGATCCAATTTCGCCTTTCATGCGTCCAAGGCAAATTGCACAAGGTTCTCCATTTCCATCACCAATGTCACTGCTGTCAGATTCAATGCCCTTGTCAACTAAGCGCATGGGAGCTGCGAGGGAATTACGCATTGATGTTGACTGAACCTCTTCTTCAGAATCATATTCTTCACTATCTGTTACTGGAAAAGCAAAAATTACAGCACCACATTATGGGAATATTCTATTAAAAATTCAATCTATTTGGTGGTTTAATGTACAAGTTTATTGTAAAAAATGTATTCTTTATTATTACTGTAGTCTGATACAGTGAGACCTCAATTCAACAAACTAATAGGGGGGGGGAAAGGGTGTCAGGTAATGCAGATTATTTGTAAAATCCAAATAAGGAGTTTGTTTTACCATGACTATAACAATAACTGACAATTCCAGAAACAAAGAATTTTGTACAATATTCCTCCAAAAAATCAATTTACATAGAGGATCATAATAATAACTCACAATTCTGGAAACAGCAACTTTTTTTTTTTTTTTTTAACAAGTCAGCCATCTCCCACTGAGGCAGGGTGACCCAAAAAGAAAGAAAATCCCCAAAAAGAAAATACTTTCATCATCATTCAACACTTTCACCTCACTCACACATAATCACTGTTTTTGCAGAGGTGCTCAGAACACAACAGTTTAGAAGCATATACATATAAAGATACACAACATATCCCTCCAAACTGCTAATATCCCAAACCCCTCCTTTAGAGTGCAGGCACTGTACTTCCCATTTCCAGGACTCAAGTCCGGCTATATAAAAATAACCTGTTTCCCTGAATCCCTTCACTAAATATTACCCTGCTCACACTCCAACAGATCGTCAGGTCCCAAATACCATTCGTCCCCATTCACTCCTATCGAACACGCTCATGCACGCCTGCTGGAAGTCCAAGCCCCTCGCCCACAAAACCTCCGTTACCCCTTCCTTCCAACCTTTTCATATGATTTTTATAGTTGTATTTCTTGGTCTCATTTGATAGAATGGGAGATATATTACAGAAATAGAGATGATTCTGATTGGTTTTAGAACAGAAAATAGCGTGAAAGTGAGCTCAAAATAGTGGAAATGTTCGATTTTTGCCGATGTTCAAGAGTAAACAAACCACATCACATGTCCAGTACATAAATCCAATACAAGAATGCCCTGATGTTATTTATACAATTATCACAAAACTGCATATCATTAAATCTTATGTTTTTTGGTGTGAATAAAAATACGTTGTGAATAAAAATAAAAATAGAATTAATGTGTAAAGCCTGGGAACATAACTAATGAACAGAGGAAATGTTATTTTAGTGCCAGGAATGCCTGCATTGTTTATTCTGGGCCCTATTTTGAAAATGGAATATTTTGAAATTTGTGTAAAATTGGCCAACTTAACAATTTCTGAACACTTTATTGGGTAGATGAAATAAGTCAACTGGGCATTTTTTTGTGCTCAATCAATAAAATGGAAGGCATACTAGCAAAATAGCTAATGATTTGGTCAACTGGGACAATGTAACTGACCTAAAATATTACTCAAAGTGGGCAAAATCACCAATGCATAAACATCGCTGACACTGCAAAATTCGTGATAGCGTAATTTCATTAATTTTCCATCAAATTTCGTACTTCTTGTTTTATTACCTTCAGAAAAAGATTCTCTACCATTTCATATGAAAAAATGGCAAAAAATTTTCAGATAAGGGATCTGGTCCCTCAAGGGGTTAAGGAGACCACAGATGTAATTTAATACAGGGGAACCTCGGCTTACGAATTTAATCCGTTCCGTGACCTTGTTCATATCCCGATTTCTTCGTATGCCGAGTCAATTTTCCTCATCTAAATTAACCCTTTGAGTGTCGCAACCCCCAATCCTGAGGTGTCTCCTGGTGTTGCAAAATTTAAAAAAATAAAAAATAATTTTTTTCTTATGAAATGATAGAGAATCTTTTCCCGATTGTAATGACACCAAAAAAACGAAATTTGATGGAAAACTGATGGAATTATGCTCTCGTGAAGTTAGCGACCTCGGCGCTGTTTACAAATTGGCGATTTCGCCCACTTTGAGCCCTATTTTCGGCTAATTCCATTGTTCCAGTCGCCCAAACTCATAGCTATTTCTTTAGAACTCCACTTTTTCTATCGATTGAGTACAAGAAACTGCCCATTTACCGATTTCAACTACCTAATAATGTGGTCAGAAATTTGCAATTTGGCCAATTTCACGAAAACTAAAAAATATGACAATTTCAAAATAAGGTCCAGAATGAACAATGCAGACATTCCTGGCTCTAAAATAACATTTTCTTTGCTCATCAGTCATGTCTCCAGGCCCCTCTGATATTACTCTTGCTTTCTATTTTGAATTTTTATTCAAACAAAAAATTGAAGACTTACTATTATGCAGACTACTGCAATACTGTAATAATTGTATAAATAACATCAACCCATTCATGACTGCATATTAGAATGGCTAGTTGGACATTTATTGGACAATGGCATCATTTGTTTACTTTTGAACATTGGCAAAAATCAAACATTTCCCCTACTTTGAGCTCCATTTCTAGTTTTTTTTTAAAGTAAAATCAATCAAAATCACCTCTATTTCTATAATATGTTTTCCATTCTATCAAATGAGACCAAGAAAACGAGAATACAACCATAAATACTATATGAAAATAGACCACAAATTCGGCATTTTAATTAAAAAAAAAAAAAAAACGGTCGGAGTTTTTTTTCTCATTATGCACTGCGTGCTCCAGGATTTTTTTTATATGGTGCACACTGACCACACAGACCCATTCTCTCACATGTGGGCCTACCAGCTTTCTCCTGCTCGATTTGAAGCCGCTAGAATTTATGAGTATATATACGTCAAACACGGTACCTCGTAAGACGTATATATACGGCCGCGACAGCCAAAGGGTTAATTGAAATGGCATTAATCCGTTCCAGCGGAATTCCGGCTCTTAGGAGACTCGACAAAATACTTCAATATGATGCTAGTATCAACTCTATGGCTTATTTATATATCACAACTCATCTAATTTCACCATCACTCAAGGAATGCACAACAGGTGCATCATTGTCAGTGTTCAGCATTTCTTCGATGTCAGCATCCTGCAACTCCATTAACACACAGTCAAGATGAGTAAATAGAACTGTCAATGCTTACTGCTTGTGTACATTTATTCTGCTAGTGGGCTGGATCTGTGAAGGACCGAAAGTACAAAATTTGGTCGAAAACTCACAGAATTATGCTCCCACGAAGTTAGCGGTCTCGGCGACATATACGCATCGGCGATTTCGCCGAATTTGAGCCCTGCTTTTGGCTAACTCCATTGTTCCAGTTGACCAAACTCATAGCTATTTCTTTAGAACTCCATTTTTTCTATCAGTTGAGTACAAGAAACTGCCCATTTACCGATTTGAACTACCCAATAAATAAAGTGGTCAGAAATTGGCAATTTGGCCAATTTCACGCATAATAAAAAAGATGCCAATTTCAAAATAGGATCCAGAATAAACAATGTAGACATTCTTGGCACTAAAATAACACATCCTCTGTTCATTAGTCACGTCTCTAGGCCCCTCTTATATTACTATTGCTTTCTATTTTGATTTTTTATTCATACAAAAAAATACAAAATTTACTGTTATGCAGACTACTGCATTATTGTAAAAATGGTATAAGTAATATCAGTGCACTAGTGAAAGAATATTAGACTCCCCAGTTGACGTGTATTGGATGTGTGGTGTGATTTGCTTACTCCTGAACATTGGTAAAAATCGAAAATCTCTGCTAATTTGAGCTCAATTTCAAGGTTGTTTTCATCATGAAACTAATCAAAATCATCTCTATTTCTGTAATATGTTTTCCATTTTATCATGTGATACCGTGGAAACGAGAATACAACGATAAATACTATACGAAAATACACCTCAAAGTCAGTGTTTTAATAAAAAAAAAAAAAAAAAAAAAAAAAAAAAGAGGTCTTTTTTTTTCTCATTATGCATTGCGTGCTGCAGGATGTTTTTATGTGGTGCACACTGACCACACAGACCCATTCTCTCACATGTGGGCCTACCAGCTTTCTCCTGCTTGATTTGAAGCCTCTAGAATTTACGCGTATAAATACGTCTGAAACAGTGGCGCGTAAGACGTATATATATGACCAAAACAGTCAAAGGGTTAAAATAAGTTTGCACCTTTTTAAGCATTTCAAATACTATAATAATTTCAAGGTAATCTGTATACCATTTAGCATTAACATACTTGAAGCTAATTTCTATCATAAATTATTCACAATAAGTACCATACAATAAAAGAATTTCCTGAGGAAATGAAATACTGTGTCCTTTCAATGATGTCAACTGAAAGTGTTAAATAACACAAATTTCTCACTTGTATATCATAAGATATACTGTAATTCTTATGATAATGATATACATGTACTGCATATACAGTGGACCCTCGACCAACGATGGCATCGTATAACGTTAAATCCGACTAGCGATACATATTAACGCAAAATTTTTGCCTCGACTAGCGCTAACAAACTCGACCAATGTAATTCGTTCTGTTCGAGACGCGTCCACATGTGGCCTGCGCAGTGTTTACAAGCCAGCCACCGCGGTCGCATCCAAACATACAATCGGAACATTTCATATTATCACAGCGTTTTTAGTGATTGTACCTGCAAAATAAGTCACCATGGGGCCCCAAGAAAGCTTCTAGTGCCATCCCTGTGATAAAAAGGGTGAGAATTATTATGGAAATTAAGAAAGATTTTGAAGGGTTTGAGGCTAACCCTAAGATGCTTATGCCAGTTGTGGAATCCATTGTGCCTACTTCCAAGATTAAGGAAATGTGTGCAAAGTGGGTTGAACTTCAAACCTTTATGGATTAAAATCACCCTTACACAGCTATTGCAAGCCGTGCTGGTGACTATTACAATGACAATGTTGTGGCCCATTTTAGACAAATCGTAAAGGAACGGGAGGTACAGAGCTCTATGGACAAATATGTTGTGCAACAGAGGTCCAGTGACTCTCAAGCTGGTCCTAGTGGCATTAAAAGAAGAAGGGAAGTAACCCCAGAAAAGGACTTGACAGCTCAAGTCCTAATGGAAGGGGATTCCCCTTCTAAACAATAAGCTCGACACTCTCCCTTCCTCCCATCCCATCAATCATCACCAGATCTTCAATAAAGGTAAGTGTCATGTAATTGTACATGTCTTCTTCAGTTTGTGTGTATTAAAATTAATATTTCATGTGGTAAAATTTTTTTTTTTTCAATACTTTGGGGTGTCAGGAACGGATTAATTTGATTTCCATTATTTCTTATGGGGAAAATTAACTCGACTAACGATAATTTCAACTAACAATGAGCTCTCAGGAACGGATTAATATTGTTGGTCGAGGGTCCACTGTATACAGTGGAAGCTCGGTTTTCGTATGCCCTAGTCTGTATGTAAAACTATAGTTATTCTCTATAAAATGTATTTTTTAATATTTTTGGGTGTCTGGAATGGATTAAGTGGATTGACATTATTTCCTTTGGGAAATATTAACAAAAAATACATTTTATAGAGAATAACTGCAGTTTTACATACCGACTAATGCATACAAAAACTGAGGTTTTACTGTATACATATATAGAGTACAGTATATAACTTCTAATGGACTGGATCCAGAAGCAAATGTTGATTATACAGTGCAAGTCATCTATGACTATGGTGTATATCGGAAAGGACATTTCATGAGGAATAAACTTTATTTCCTCCCCATTCTGTGAGCTGTTAAAATAAGTTATTAACAAATAAACCACAGGCAGTTATATGCATAAAAAAAAGGTTACTTAAAAAGATCCACTACCTTCACTTTCTTCTTCTTCGCCTTCTTCGCTTCCCTCATCCTCTTCTGAATCTCCCTCTTCTTCACTGCAACCCCCATCACTTTTATCGTCTTTGTCCTCATCTTCGAAACTGTCATTGTCGTCATCATCATCACAATCTTCCTCATCTGAGCATTCTTCTTCTGTATCAGATCCCTCTTCTGAATCTGATTCAACTGTTCTCTTACGCTTGGGAACTCTGGTAATTAATTCATCATCATCATCAGAATCATCATCACTAACGTCCTTAATTTCTTGTGTATCATCCTCCTTGTGCATCTCGGACAGCTGTAGGAAGAAAAATATAATGCTGAATGTTGCATCATACACAGGTGAAGTTACTCATACAAATAAACAAAGAAATAACTTTATAAGTAATATTGAGGACTAAAAAATTAATTTTTGGTAAAATATATTTTCAAAATAGTCTAAAAGTTAAACAAATTATGCTGAGCAAAACATACAGGGCAGAGAGAGAACATTTTGGGATAATTCTTTACCATTCTTCTAAAATATGATAGAATACCAGCTCAAGAGCATATTAGTGTATCTGCATTCTGAAGACAGTATAAGCTAATCTATGAGAATGTTTAGGTGGTGCACACAAGCATGCTTTATATTTTGCTATCTAGTGGCAAGATATACTGCTCCTCCATTTTTGTGCTTAGAAAACAATTCAGCTTTAAACTACCATTCTAGCAATTTTAAATGACAAAATAGAAAATGCTTAATATGAAATCACCATGAAATTACCAGTGATCAACATAACAATGGCATTCATTTTGCACAAACCTAATTTCCTATACACTACCATGTACAGTAATACTACAGTATAATAAAAAATTTAGTCAATAAAAGTTTTGTGTGCACAAATACTACACCTACATTAAACTATTCATTCATGCATATTCACACACATACTATACACCCCCCAACCAACCTCAACCCCTCATATATGCCCCCAACCCCCACACATGCCCCCCACCCACTCACAGAATTGTGCATTGTTCCGGTCACAGAATTGTTACTTCTTTCTTTGTAGTTCTGATACTTGAATGTGCAATTTCTTGCACTCAAATCAATAGAACAAAATGCATACTAACAAAAGAGCCAGGAATTGGGTCTGGTTGAACAACAGAACTATGCAATGTGGACAAGTCACAATTACAAAAAGTGCTCCCCATCCTCCAACTTTGTGCCTACATAATTCCAAAAGTTTTCCTTCAAATTTTGCATTTCTGGTATCATTATTTTAGAAAAAGATTCTTTGCCATTTACTTTTTTTTTTTTTCAATGGCAACACTGATGAAACTTTAATAATAATAATAACAACTTGTGGTATCATGATTTCAGTTTTTAATCCATCGAAGTTTTTAAAGATTTCCAATGGCTGATGCCTGACTCCATACAATGATTCCTGTAAAACTCAGAAGAATTTCTTCAGATTATTAACACGAAGGTTATGTAACCCAGGATAACCCAACAAAGCCTGTCATTAGACAGTCTAGTGATAGTTTGGCATCTTTTAAATCCTCTCCCACAGGATGTGACCCACACCAGTCAATTAACACAAGGTACCTAATTACAGCTGGGTGAATCTAAATTAAGAATTAAACTTGTGAGGGGTCACATAGCATATATGTAGTTTACGTAATATAAATGCATTAATGTATGCTTTATCTTATACATAGCTTACTAACTTGGCTTATTTGCTAAACAAGATGAACATGCATGAAATTTTTCGTTTACCATTAAAATGAAATCTGATCACAAAATAATTGATGCCAGATAATGAAAACAAAATAAGTTTAGGTTTGACAAGGGCTTGTCAAGTATGGGCCAGTAGGCCTGCTGTAGTGTTCCTCCCTTCTTATGTTCAACTTATATTATATACAATAAAAATGAGGTACTGAACATTTGGCTTAAAATATTCATGCATATAGATTCAAACACACAGTGGCGCCTAGGACAAAGGACGAAATTTTTTATCAAAAGGAGCTCTAGATTCATAAAAAATGGATCCAAGGTTGGTCACCATGTTGCAGCCCTTTGGTGATAAACCATAAACTTATTTTACCTTATTCCTAGTATATCCCCTTTATAGCATAATATATTACCTCCTTTATAGTATAATGATGTATTTAAAGGACCCCAATGGAAATAAGTGACTGACTTTTTTTGGGTTATTCCAGGTTCTCTACACATATGCTGCTATGTATGATAATCTATGTAACTGTATTTGTGTATACCTGAATAAACTTACTTACTAAGGGTTGCACCTGACTTTTTTGGGTTACCCTAGATAATTTACACCATGTATAATAATTATAGTTTACGTGTACCTGTGCATAAATAAACTTTCTATATTTTCACTGCTTTTTACTCAAGTTTTATAAGGAGCTCAAAGAAATTCATAACCTTAACTTGCTTTATTTTTTCTACCCAAACGAAATTGTTGAGGAAAGGTGGTATTTATAGTTTATTATGAAACAAGTAAAATATATTAATTTAAATACACCAGGCAGCAAAACATAAAACTCTCCTTGGAATTAATATGAGAGAGCCAATCCTTTAATGAGAAAACCAAAGAACTACCAGTCTTTTTTTTTTTTTTTTTGGTGGTGCTATTTATGGGATTTTCCCCTTACATGTAGGGAGGGGATATTATTCCTTCACCAAATAGAGAGAGATGGGAGTAATCCCTTTATGCAGAACTGAGAGAGCAGTATATACTTGGTGCCGCCCCTGACACCACCATCACTTCCCTCCCTCCAGTACCTCACACTCGTCAAACTGGCTACCATTTTACCCTTCACAATGAACCCCTGCATTTACTCCCAACAGTGTGGCTTTACTCATTATACCCAAATATAACACACGCTACGTAATACCCTCACATAAACTAGCAGCATCTCTCATATACTAGCAAAACAACCAAATCAATCCAACACCAATTCATTCAATAATAATGGAGGGAAGGAAACCAAATTGACGTACCCGAATATACGGTATCTGCCCTGCAAGATGAAGGAGGCACTCTTTATGCTGATATTTAGACTACTATACTACACAAATGTAAACAACAAGTTTTCTCATAATTGGAAGTCGGCGTCGGCCATTTCTAGTTACCTTAAATTCCACTAATGCACATATGTTGATGAAAAACCAATCCTATCCTTGCAATACGCAAGTATAATGTAAAAATCTTTCCATTTATATTCCTCGAGATGAAATTTGTGCAATAATGTTTAAGCGTTACACTCTTTCTTTAAATATATTAAATTAATCAGAACACTTCACCTGTCAAATGACAGAGAAAATATACTTGGAACTCTGGGGTTTGGGTACGCATCTGCTATAATTTATTGTTAAAAAATTATTTTGATCTGCAAAAAATGTGTAATCTTGTTACGGAAGAACAATCTGAATCGGGAGCAATGGCTGTTTTAAAAATAATTTAGGGGAATTATTATAAACAAGATTACTGTACCTACAAACTGTGCATCAATAAGCTACGCTAAGCTCGCTCCGCAGCCCAACATACAGTACCATAAAAATTAGAGCAATGAATTAACTTTTTTATGCAACATCAAGCCAGTTAATAAAAGACACGAGAGAGTAATAAGTTCACATTTTCAGTACCGGAAACCCGAGTACGATCATTATTGGAACACGAGGCAGCGCTTGTTCTCTCCCCCTCAGTAGTGTGTCGTGTGAGGCTGCTCTCAACACTCTTTAACTAGAAACTGTAACCATGGGTCGTATGCACAGTGGAGGGTAAGTCTGGCGTGCTCTGGCCACTCGTAATTCGTGTCAGCATCTATAACGGGGCTTGCAAGATAATTTTTGCAATATATTTTTACATAATAATAAGGTAAGATTGCATTGTTTAGGACTAGAGAAGTGAACACCAAGACAAGGTCCCAAGACCAAAACTTTCTTTTAATATCCTCTTGTTTGCATACGTCTTTTTCAAACCATTTTACTTTTGGTACTTTTTATTCGTAAGTTTCTCTACATGACATCTGCATTGCTTATTTTCTGTTGGTTTTTGCTTGTATTGCAGGAAGGGTATATCCCAGTCTGCTCTGCCGTACCGTCGCTCTGTACCAAACTGGTTGAAACTTACCAAGGAAGATGTTGAGGAGCAGATCGTCAAGCTGGCCAAGAAGGGTCTCACCCCATCACAGATTGGTTAGTATAGGGTATAAGAGGCCAGCTTAAATAGTAGTGTTTTCCACAATGGATAGACCAAAGGTTAAGTCGAGATTTGCATGCTTCCTTACACCCTGTTAGGTAAAATGAGACGATAATAGATTTACCAACAAAATGTAAGGTAAATGGACACACGTAACTAATGTAACATTTTATTGTGGCAACGTTTTACTCTCCAGGAACTTTGTTAAGCTGTCTCGACTTTTTGGGTTATCCTAGGTAATTTACACTTAACTGTGTGATGATTGTACTTCTGTATACCTGTGGCTAAATAGACTTGCTACTGGAGAGCGAAACATTGCCACAGTAAAATGTAACATCAGTTGCATCTGTCCATTTACCTAATAATGAGACAGTAATCATGGCTGTTTCATAAGAACTGATCGGGTTTCTTGGTCATCGTGGGTTAATAACCCCTTGAGGTAAATATTACAATCCGGCAGCAGGTGTAGTGGCTCATGCTAGGCAGGTACTCTACCAAACTCTTCTCATTTGTATGTGGTTAATCAAACATATTCTGGAGGTGGGAAGTACAGTGCCTCTGCTCTGAAGGATTGGTGGTGGTAATGTGGTTTGGAGGGTCATATGAACTGTTATGTCATTGGCCTTTTGGTAAACCCATAAGTTTTTTCTTTGTTTGGCTATCCTACCTCAGTTGGAGATGGCTAGTGTAATAAAAATCTTGTGTATATATAAATCTACCCTAAGTGTTAACTTATATGACAGCTTGGCAGTTTGTTCCACTATTTAACACCTGTTTCCCATTTAACATTTTGGTCAATTCCCACCGAGGCAGGGCGACCCAAAAAGAAGAAAAAAAAATTCATCCAATACTTTCACCATCACTCATACATAATCACTGTCTTTGCAAAGGCACTCAGATATGACAGTTTAGACGTCCCTCCAAACCCCCTCCTTTAAAATGCAGGCATTGTACTTCCCATTTCCAGGACTCAAGTCTGGCTAACTGGTTTCCCTGAATCCCTTCACAAAATATTACCCTGCTCACACTCCAACAGCTCGTAAAGTCCCAAAAACCATTTGTCTTCATTCACTCCTATTCAACACGCTCACGCACGCTTGCTGGAAGTCCAAGCCCCTCTCCTATGAAACTTCCTTTACCCCTTCCCTCCAACCTTTTCAGGGATGACCCCTACCCTGCCTTCCTTCCCCAATAGATTTATACACTCCAAGTCATTCTACTTTGTTCCCTTCTCTCTAAATGACTAAACCACCTCAACAGCCCCTCCTCAGCCTTCTGACTAATACTTTTAGTAATTCCACACCTCCTAATATCCATACTAAGAATTCTCTGCATAATATTTACACCACACATTGCCCTTAGACACAACATCTCCAGCTGCCTCTTCGCTGCAGAATTTACAATCCATTCTTCACACCCATATAAGTATTGGTAACACTATACTCTTGTACACTCCCTTCTTTGCCTCCATGGATAACATTCTTTGCCTTCACAGATACCTCAATGCACCACTCGCCTTTTTTCCTTCATCAGTTCTATGGTTTACCTCATACTTCACAAACTCATCTGCTGACAAGTCAACTCCCAAATATCTGAAAACATTCACTTCTTTCATACTTCCTCCCTCCAATGTGATCTCCAATTTTTCTTTATCTAAATCGTTTGATACCCTCATCACCTTACTCTCATCTATATTCACTTTCAACGTTCTACCTTTACACACCCTCCCAAACTCAGCTACTAACCTCTACAACTTTTCTTTAGAATCCCTGAAAAGCACAGTCTCATCAGCAAAGAGTAACTGTCAGCTCCCATTTTGTATTTGATTCCCCATAATTTAATCCCACCCCTCTCCCCGATACCCTAGTATTTACTTCTTTTACAGCCCCATCTATAAATATGTTCAACAACCATGGTGACATTACACATCCCTGTCTAAGACCTACTTTTACTGGGAAGTAATCTCCCTCTCTTCTACACACCCTAACCTGAGCCTCACTATCCTCATAAAAACTCTTTACAGCACTTAGTAACTTACCACCTATTCCATACACTTGCAACATCTGCCACATTGCACCCCTATCCACTCTCATATGCCATTTCTAAATCCATAAATGCAGTGAAAATTTCCCTACCTTTATCTAAACACTGTTCACATATATGCTTCAGTGTAAACATCTGATCTACATATCCCCTATCCATTCTAAAGCCTCCTTGCTCATGTGCAATCCTGCTCTAATTCTTTTAATAATAACCCTACCATACACAACCTGGTATACTCAGTAAACTTATTCCCCTATAATTTTTATAATCTCTCTTGTCCCCCTTCCCATTATATAATGGAATTATACATGCTCTCTGCCAATCCCTAGGTACCTTCCCTTTTTTCATACATTTATTAAACAAAAATACCAACCACTCCAACACTATATCTACCCCTGCTTTTAACATTTTTATTCCAGCTGCTTTACCCCCTTTCATTCTATGTATTGCCTCATGCACATCCCCCACACTCGCATCCTGTTTCCCATATCCTTTCTAAATCTAAAATTGTCCAACTTGAATAATTTATTTCAGTTAGATATGCTCAGTACCCTATTTATGTATCCTTTGTTTATGCCTGTCTTCCACTTGAATGCTACAGTCTTATCTTTCCACATTCTAAGTCTGTCAGAATTGTAGGTTCAGGGCTATTACTCTTAGTATGAAACATTCTATATACAGTAGATTATTTTTGTCATCCTCTGAAATTTCTTCAAAGCATTTACATCCATACTATAGTGTGGAGACCAGAGCAGCACTGCATGTTCCAAACGATTTGTATAATGCCGCAGTATCACCTTTGGGCTCCTGTTTGCTTTATAAATATCTAAGCAGTCTATTATCCTTATTGTGGATACTTTGGCACTGCTGTCTTGGCTTTAGATTTATTTTTGCCGTAATTCCTAAGTCCTTTTCATATTCTGTATGATCAGTTCTGCATTTCAGTACTAGGGCCATTTTCATTCCCATTTTCATTAAATTGTCATTTTTCTGGCCACAATATTATCTTGTCAATCATACAAGATCAATATTTTTGTTTTTAATTTCATTCAGTTTTTTGTCTAAATTTACTAGCAATGCTTATTTATTCTCTAAAGATCATTTAGATTGTATGAGGGGCTCAAAGCTTATCCATGTGACACATTATTTGTGACTGGATCCCAGTCTGATTTCACGCTATTTATACAAACTTTGCTGGTCCCTATTAAGTAAGTTTATTCTGGTACAGGTACACACCAATACAGTTACAAAGTATCATACATAGCAGTAAATGGCTTCACACCATCTATACAAACTGCAGCCTATTTATCATCCATGCCTCTAGAGGGAATTTCATCCCATACCATGTGCTGCCACTTTGTCTTTGTGGGATTATCAAAAGCTTTTCTAAAATCCGAGTAAACAACGTTATATTCGTTTACATGGTCCACTGCTTGAAATGTCTTGCTAAAATAATTCAGTAAAATTTGTTAAAGGCATGAATGGTCACTTGTGAATCAGCGTTGAGACAAGTAGTCTTCATTGGTGAATAACAAATTTACAACACCTGATTACCTCTCGATGTTGAGCCCACCAGGGACTGCGTTAATCAAACACACACGCAAGTGCACACGCACACGCGACTAACCAGAAAAGTTGTGGTGTGAAGTAATAGAGGTAGGAATAACCAGAGATGTGATGAATAGTAGTGGTGGTAACAAGTGTGGCTTAATAGTGATGCATGTTAATTTAATGTCCATGGAAGCAGTGGTTAGGTTTGTCATGCTATGAATGGGGCAATAATGGTTATGTAATTGTAAACAGTTTGGAGATGTAATTTGTAATGGAAGTGTCTTGGCCTTTAAAAGGTTAACTGAGCCAGAACTTCCAAGATAATGAAGATGTTGGATGCAACAACAATTTTTTAAAAAAAAACAGCATTTCTGATTTTTTCTCTATCATTTTGGCATCATTCCACTTTATCTGTTAAGCATCTTTTGTGTGCACTGGCTGGTGTCCAAGCATCTAAATCATTCATTTGTAAACTATTGCAGTCTCTACATTATATCAGGATAACTTACTTATGGAATGCATCTTTATACCCAAGAATTTACTGTTTTCACAAGAGAATGCAAATGAAATTCCAGAAATCTATTATACATGTCAGGATGAGAGAATGGGTTTGTGTGGTGAGTGTGCACAGCCTAAAATAAATCCTGCCGCATGCAGTGCATTATGAGAAAAACAACTGTGACTGTGTATGGTTTAAAATAGTGAATTTGGAGTGTTTTCTTTAATGGTTTTTATTATTTTATTGTTTTTTCTTGGTATTTAATAGAATGGAGGATGTATTGCTGAAACAGATGATTTTTTATTAGTTTGCAAACTGTCACCACATGGACAAAACCTAGGCCAGGGCTATGCTGGCAAATCATACTGGAAGTAGCTTGAAATTTGAGCTTAAAATAGTGGTACAAGTCTGATTTAATTGTTGGAATTTTGTAAACCATGACTGATTTTCCCTGGTTATACTTTATTATCCATGAAATAGAGTAAATCTTCTATTTTTGTGAATAACGGTTCAAAATGTAGGCAAGTGTAATACATATAGGAGAGGCCTGGGATGTAATTAATGAACAGAGGAAATGTTTTAGTGCCTGGAATGTCTATTTTGTTTATGGACTTTATAACTTATTTCTCTAATTTTGTCTAAAATTGGCCAAATTATCAACTACTGTGCACTTTAGAGAGTACAGTGGAACCTCTACTTGCGAGTTTAATCCATTCCATGACCTTGCTTGCAAATGGATTTGCTCGTTTGCAGAGTCAATTTTCCTCATTTAAATTAATTGAAATGCAATTAATCCACTCCAGTGGAATTCTGTACTTCAATAATTTCGCTAATGTCAACTCTATGGCTTATTTATCTATCACAGTTCATCTAATATGACATCAACAATATAAATAACAGAAA